AGTCACAGACACAGGGTAGGAGGCCATATATAGGACACAGCACTTAGAAGAGAAGAGAAGAGAAGAGAAGAGAAGAGGAAGAGAGGAAGGAAGGAAGGAAGAAAAAGAAAGAAAGAAAAAAGAAAGAAAGAAAGAAAGGAAAGAAAGAAAGAAAGAAAAAGAAAGAAAGGAAAAGAAAGAAAGAAAGGAAAGAAAGAAAGAAAGAAAAAGAAAGAAAGAAAGAAAAAGAAAGAAAGAAAGAAAAAGAAAGAAAGAAAGAAAGAAAGAAAGGAAAGAAAGAAAGAAAGAAAGAAAAAGAAAGAAAGAAAGAAAGAAAGAAAGACAAAGAAAGAAAGAAAGAAAGAAAGAAAGAAAGAAAGAAAGAAAGAAAGACAAAGAAAGAAAGAAAGAAAGAAAGAAAGAAAGAAAGAAAGAAAGAAAGAAACAAAGAAACAAAGAAACAAAGAAAGAAACAAAGAAAGACAAAGAAAGAAAGACAGGGCTCGGTGGCTCAGCCTGTAATCCCACACTTTGGGAGCCCGAGGTGAATGAATTGCCTGAGCCCGAAGGTTCGAGATCCGCCTGGGCAACTTGACGAGACCTCGTCTTTACAATAAATCAAAAATTAACCAGGTGTGGTAGCGCGCGCCTGTAGTTCCAGCTACTGGGAAGGCTGAGGCGGAAGGATCGCCGGAGCCCTGCAGGTCGAGGCTGTGGTGGCCGGAAGCGGCCACTGCACTCCAGTCTGGGTGACAGAGTGAGACTCCAACTCAAAAAAAAAGAAAGAAAGAAGCCGGGCTCGGTGGCTCAGCCTGTAATCCCGCGCCTTTGGGAGGCTGAGGTGGGTGGATGGCCTGAGCCCGCGGGTTCGAGACCCGCCTGGGCAGGCGATACCTCATCTCTACAATAAATCAAAAAATTAGCTGGGTGTGGTCGTGCGCACCTGTAATTCCAACTACTCGGAAGGCTGAGGCGGAAGGATCGCCGGAAAAAGAAAGAAAAAGGAAAAAAATAAAAGAAAAGCTCCTGTAGCAGGAGGGGACCTGAAAGAGGGTAGCCATTTTAGCTATGCTAAAACACACACACACACACACGCATACAAAATTTAGTAGAAGAAAATATGCTGAGATGGATTTTTTTTTTTTTGCGTTGGAATCTCATTCTGTCCCCCAGACTGGAGTGCAGTGGCATGTTCCTGGCCACCGCAGCCTCAACCTGCTGGGCTCCAGCAATTCTTCCACCTTAGTCTTCCAAGTAGCCAGAACTACAGGTGCGGCTACCATGCCCAGCTGGTTTTTGATTTATTGTAGAGATGAGGTCTCGCCAAGTTGCCTGGGCAGGTCTCGAACCCGTGGGCTCAGGCAGTCCTCTCACCTCGGCCTCCCAAAGTGCTAGGATTACAGGCTGAGCCACCAAGCCCGGCCTGAGATAGATTTTTTTTTTAATGGCTATTGTTTTCTTTATAGTTTTCTGTTTTTTTCCACAGAAAATGTTAAACATGTGTATATTTTTAGAGATGGGGTCTTGCTTTGATTCCCAGATTAGAGTGCAGTGGCTATTCATAGACGTGACCATAGCACACTACAGCCTTAAACTCTTTAACTAATGCAATCCTGCTTCAGCCTCCTGAGTAGCTGAGACTATAGCCATGCACCACTGCACCTGGCTGCAAATGTTAAATTTTTTTCACATTTTATTTTTATTTTAAGTCAGAGTCTCACTCTGTCGCCCAGGCTGGAGTGGAGTGGCACACTCACGGCCATCCCAGCATCGACCTGCTGGTCTCTGGCAATCCTTCCACCTCAGCCTTCCAAGTAGCCAGAAGTAGAGATGCGTGCTACCATGCCTGGCTACTTTTTGGGTATATTGTAGAAATGAGGTCTCACCAAGTTCCCCAGACTGGTCTTGGACCCCTGAGCTCAGGCAATTCTCTTGCCTCGGCCTCCCAAAGTGCTGGGATTACAGGCTTTTCAGTCACTGCATCTGGCCCACATATTATTTTTATAGTCACAGACACATAAACATTTTTTAAAAATTTGTTCCAGATGGTTTGTTGCAGAAATCATGGTCCAATAAAATTAGGGAGGAATACTTTGAAGTTTCATTTTTGTTGTTCTTGGCCTATTTTAATTTGCCCAGAAAAACAAGCATATGCCAATTTTCTCTAAATGTAAAAAGGAATTAGAATGCCTAAAATGTATCTAGTGGAAGCTAAGTAATATTATAACATAGAATTTACTGTAATTAAAATATGCTATGGTTTTGCTCATGTCCTATAGTAACTATATCTTATGGATCCAGTTATAAGGACATATCCAGAAGGAATTTAGTATAATCAACTTTGCTCTGAATTTCTAGGAGAGTCATTATCAATTTTATTTTTAAAGAAAAGATACCTACCAAAGCTTTGTCTCTAAAAGTGGCAATAGAGCCGGGCTTGGTGGCTCAGCCTGTAATCCCAGCACTTTGGGAGGCTGAGGCGTGTGGATTGCCTGAGCCTGCAGGTTCGAGACCTGCCTGGGCAACTTGGTGAAACCTTGTCTCTACACTAAATCAAAAATTAGCTGGGTGTCTCTAATCCAAAAAAAAAAAAAAAGTGGCAACAGATCTTGCTGGTCTAGGAATACTGATCAATCAGAATCTCATTATAAAATTCTAATTCCTCTGTGGCGTTTCTCAGTTGTGCTGGGATTTCCCCTTTGGTTTCTTTTCTTTTTTTTTGAATTGGAGTCTCACTCTGTCGCCCAGGCTGGAGTATAGTGGCATGCTCATGGCCACCGCAGCCTTGACCTGCTGGGTTCAGGCGATCCTTCCACCTCAACTTTCCAAGTAGCTGGAACTAGAGGCATGCGCTACCACCCCTGGCTAGTTTTTTATTTATTTATTTATTTATTATTATTTTTGTTTTTGAGTTGGAGTCTCACTCTGTCACTCAGACTGGAGTGTAGTGGCTGCTCCCGGTTACTGCAGGCTCGACCTGCTGGGCTCCGGCGATCCTTCCACCTCAGCCTTCCAAGTAACTGGAACTACAGTCATGCGCTACCACGCCCAGCTAATTTTTGATTTATTGTAGAGATGAGGTCTTGCTGCCCAGGTGGGTCTCGAACCCACGGGCTCTGGCAGTTCACTCACCTCCGCCTCCCAAAGTGCTGGGATTACAGGCTGAGCCACAGAGCCCAGCCAGTTTTAAAATTTATTATAGAGATGAGATCTCATCATGTGGCCCAGGCTGGTCTTGAACCTGTTGGGAGCTGGTGATGGAGGCCCACTGAGCATTAGACATCAGGAAGGGCTGTTGACCCCAAGACCACTAGGATGTGTTTGGGAGCTGTTGACCTCATTCCCTTCCTCCTTTTTTACTTGGCACTACAACCAGAAAATCCTTCTGTTGGCTCTAACAGAAAACTCTGCGACCGGAAGGTACACAGTTAAACTTGGGAGTCTGTTGTTTTCATTTTTCATGGTTTATGGTTTTTGCTTTTAAACAATTTAAATTCAACTTTGAGTCACATTGAGGAGCCTTAATACAGGTTACAAGTTCTCTTGATGTGATTTTTAAAATTTATAGATATAGCTTTTAGGAAATAGTTTATGTAGATTGAAAAAAATTTAGGTAATCATTTTATTGTAGGAGTGTGGTTAGTTCAGTTTGATTTAGGAGGACCAGTGAAGTTTGAATTAGGCCAGCTGGTGTTAGGAGAGTGTAACCATAGCAGCAATTGTTTTAGTAAAAACTAGTTTGAATTTGCACAGAATAGTAAAAGTTAATAATTCATTAAGGTGGTTTCAGGTTTAGACATTGAGTGATGTTATTTCGAGATGATGTAGTTGTAATACAATTAAGGACACATAAAAAATTGGTTTGGGGAACATTAATCAAGCATAAGAAACAAAAAGACAATTTGTGGTTGTTCTTCCTCATATTTTTCCTCATGTTCTTCCTTATGTATGAAAAAACATTTGCTTGAGAGTGGGGGGTGTCCTTGGTACACCTGAACCTGTTCATGTGAAAGGCACATGCTACCTTTTGTGTTTTGTGATGGTGACTTTACAAAATTTAGGGATAAAAACCCACTGTAATTTACAATAAATGACTTCTGCTCACTCTGAACAGTAGTCCAGTCCCTTTCTTTTTTTTTTAATCAATATTTTTTATTATGATATTGTGGGGTACAGTTAAGGATTAGGTATACAAATATGCTTCATTCAGGCACCCTTGTTGATAAGAGGTGTCTCCCCAAGTCCCTTTCTTTCTAGTTGCCTACTCCGTCTCACCTCCAGGAACCTCTAAACCTTGCAGGAGCTGGACTCCTGCATGAACCCATAGGCTCAGGCAGTCCTCTCGCTTCGGCCTCCCAAAGTACTGGGATTATAGGCTTGAGCCACCAAGCCCAGCCTCCCCTTTGGTTTCAATGAGACCCCTGGGGCGGGGGGGGGGGGGACTTACTATTGTCAGGAGTATATACCGGAAACTTGGTGATAACTAGAAGTAGAAGAGAATACTCAAAATGAGTAAACTAGAGAGGGAAGAGGAATATTGGTAAATGTGGGTAGGACCAATGAAAATTTAAAGCCCAACTAGAATTTTTCAACCTAATGACTTATAATGCTAGTAAATTTTATCAATCCGAAGAGTAGACTCAGCAATGTTGTTCCTATTTGTCCCTCAGACTGTGTCCCCTAGATGAAGTGCAGGCTGAACAGATATTTCTTTTTTCCCTTCACACAGGAAAATGATGGATTCTGGACAGATTGACTTTTACCAACATGACAAAGTTTGCTCCAATACCTGCAGAAGCACCAAGTTTGACCTTCTGATCAGCAGTGCAAGAGCTCCAGTGCCAGGACAGCAGACAAGTGTGGTGCAGACACCCACTTCGGCTGATGGTAGGGGGTAGGAAACCACCTGAAAACCCACTGAGTTTTTCAGCAGCACATTCCCCCAATTTCTCCCTTCTGTTTCTTTTTTTTTCTCTTTTATTTTCTATCTTTCCTTTTTCTCCCTTACATTTCTTAATATCAACTCTTGTGAACGTTGATACACCTTGTTGTAAGGTATGGTATGTAATCTTGGGTGGCGTTCTATGCTTTGGGAACAGATCTTTTTGTTTTGAGGGGTTTTTTTTAATTTTTAATTTTTGTTTTTGTTTTGTTTTGTTTTGTTTTGTTTTTGAGTTGGAGTCTCACTCGGTCCGCCCAGTCTGAAATGCACTGGCCGCTCCCGGCCACCACAGCCTCGACTTGCTGGGCTCCAGAGATCCTTCCGCCTCAGCCTTCCGAGTAGCTGGAATTACAGGCATGCGCTGCCACGCCCGGCTGATTTTTGATTTATTGTAGAGATGAGGTCTCGCTGCCCAGGCGGGTCTCGAACCCACGGGCTCAGGCAATCCACTCACCTTAGCCTCCCAAAGGCGCAGGATTACAGGCTGAGCCACCGAGCCCAGCTTGCTTTGTTTTTGAGTTGGAGTCTCATTCTGTCACCCAGACTGGAGTGCAGTGGCCGCTCCCGGTCACTGCAGCCTCGACCTGCTGGGCTTCAGCGATCCTTCCGCCTCAGCCTTCCAAGTAGCTGGAACTACAGGCACGCGCTACCACACCCAGCTAATTTTTGACTTATTGTAGAGATGAAATCTCTCCAAGTTGCCCAGACGGTAATTTTTTTATTTTACTGTAGAGATGAGGTCTCGAAAAGTTTTCCAGGCTGTTCTCAAACTTGTGGGCTCAGGTAACCCTCTCGCCTCAGCCTCCCAAAGCGCTGGGATTACAGGCTTGAGCCACTGTGCCCAGTGATCTCTTTGTTTTTTACCAAATGATTCCTATTGGCCAGACCTCCTTCCTTGTTTCTTTCTTACAGTGCATTGTGAGCATTAGAAAGATGGGTCAGCCAGGTTCGGTGGCTCAGCCTGTAATCCCACGCCTTTGGGAGGCTGAGATGAG